ACTGAGCGGGCCTGGGAGGGGGGGGACGCCGGTCGCGAGGGCATTGGCCCCGACGTCGGGGCAGGGGCAGGAAGCAGCAGAGGGCGGGAGGGAGGGCGGGAGGGAGGGCGGGAGGGAGGGCGAGTGGCGGGAGGAAGAGGAGGAGGCAGCCGCGGGGCTCTTTGCCTCCGTCCACGGCTACCCCGCCTCCTCGACCCTCTTCCCTCCCTCCGTCTCCGCCCGCTCGCCCTCCGTCCGTGCGCGCCGGCCCCCCTCCCTCCTCGCCCGCCTGCGTCGCTGCCTGGGCCGTGGCCTCTTCTCCCTGACCGCCGCTTTCCGCCAGTGCTTCTCCGACCTCCTGACCCCGCCCTTCTTCTTCCTCGTGGTCACCACCTTCACCTTCTACGGCGCCTTCCAGCCCCTTGAGACCTTCGCGGTCAGCTACTTGAAAGCCCACCAGGGCTTTACCTCCACGCACGCCTCCCTCTGCGCCTCCATTCTCCCCTCCCTCTCCGTTCTCCTCTCCCCCCCTATGGGTGCCCTGGTCGACAAGGAGCTGGCCCCTTTCTCCTCCGCCCGCCCTCGCTCCTGGCGTCGGACCTACCTGTGGCCCCCCGGCTCCACGCTCCTCTGGTCCATGCTCCTGACCGCCCTCGGACTCGTCTGCCTCCTCCCCGCCCCCTCCCAGGCCCTAAGCTGGATCCCGGGCTTCTTCCTCGTCTCGCTCGGCTACGCCTTTTCCTGCGCCTCGATTTGGACGGCCATCCCTTACTTCGTCCCCGACCGGTCCCTCGGTCTCGCTCTCGGGATGATTCACGCCATCGACGACGCCGCCATCCTGGCCGTCCAGGTGGAAGTGGGGCGGCTCTTGGACCAGGCGCGGGAGGAGGCGGAGGCGCTGGGATCGGCGGGAGGAGCAGAGCTGATGGAGACCCTGGAGGACTTGGAGTACGAGAGGAGCGTCTTGCCCATGTTGATTGGCCTGGCGGTGGTGGCGGCTCTGGCCACGCTGCCTGTCATGTCGGCCTTGAAGAAGAAACTTTCGGCGGGAGGTTTGGAGTTCGCCTAGGAGGGCGAGGGGAGGGAGAAAAGGAGGGAGGACAGGACGAAAGAGAAAACGGTGGGAGATGTCCGCTCTGGGTCTGGAAGGTGGCATGCGGAGAAGGAGGAAAATGTCAAGAGAAAGAAGATGGGTGGGAGGACTATGGCGTGTTTACTCTCAAGTCGAATCCTGCGACGACAGCTGTTGGAAGCAGGAATGGAGGCGCACTTAAGTGTGGAGCCTAAGGTACATTCATACATAGTACGGTAGGGTGCGGAATGTCTTCAAAAGTCGAATGTTAGAGGAGGGTGAGATGTGGGTCGAAGGATCGGCTGGCACCACAGGAAAATGGAAATATGAATTAGGAAGGCGTAGGGCGGGAGGTGTAAGTACAAATGGGGCGATGCAGGAGGGAACAAGTGTAAGAAGGGGAAGCTGAGGATAGGAGAAAAAGGGGAATAGGCGGGGAAGGCAAAGTGAACTAGGTCCTGGACGGGAGCTGTAAGTACAAATGGGGCAATGCGGGAGGGACGAGTGTGAAAACGGGAAGCTAAGGATAGGAGAAAAAGGGGAATAGGCGGGGAAGTCAAAGTGAACTAGGTCCTGCACGGGAGGTGTAAGCAGATTACAAATGGGGCGATGCGTGAGGGGACGAGTGTCAAAACGGGCAGCTGAGGATGGGAGAAGAAGAGAAAAAGGCGGGGAAGGAAAACTCGATCAAACGGGACAGTGTCACACCTTCCACCGAATGAGGAGCTCGGATTTGTCAAGGATCAATACATTCTTCGCGCAATCGTCTTTTTCCTGTTTCTCCAATATGCTTTTTCCCGTGGATGACCCAGTCTAAATTCCACAACATCCTGACCGCAACGGATGCGGAGGAAATGGATCCTGGGATTTTCGCATGCTTAGACTTGGATAGTCGCTCAGATGCCTACAGATACTTGTATTTTTGTATGCCTAGAGGCTAAACGTCTGCGAAATATTTCACCTTGTACCAGCTCCACTCATTGTAATGGTTGGCAGTAGGTCTCGATGCAGTCAGTACAATCTGACGTGGCATCCCAGAAGGTTTCTCTGTTGTTTTCCGGCAAAGAGGCTGCGAACAAGCAGGCGACACATCTGTTGAAGTCAGGTGCACCCACTTGGTCTTTTCCGTTTTGGACTACATCATGAATATCGGATGCTGAAAGTGGTGTTCCTCCAAGAAGGTCAAAGTAGTCGTTTGGCTCCATGGAGCCGCGAAGTGCTGAAAATCCGCCTTTCGCGCTCGAAACCACCCGATTGGGAATATACACAATCGCCGTGACATTGGGCTCGCGGCATCCAAAGAAACTCACTTTTGAGGTAAGCGTAGAAGCATTTAGGTTTGCTGTGAGAATATCACCTGGTAAAGTGTGTTCATCGCTATAGGAAGAAAAGCGGAACAGATTATTCTGGCTCATGTCCGATGTCGGCCAACAACCGAAACCCGGAACGGACACGCAGGTGTTGCAGCACGTGTTGCTCAAGCCCTCATCTGAGGATGATCCAACAGCACATGTTCCTGCTCCATCAGCTGCGCAGGTGGCGGGGGGGGCCATCGACAAGGGTGGATCACCCTCTGCCCCACCTTGGTCAATGACGATCGCCACGTCCGCCTTTCGTGTTGGCGTGATAAATGGCCACAAAGGATCGTTGTAGGTAACACCGCCGTCTACTACTTTTGTTTCAGCTGCGCTGAACAACTCCTGTGGATCTGCAGCTTGACTCTGCCCCGTATGTCCAAGAAAAGGATTATTTATCGCTAATGGTTTGCATATATCTCCCGTTGCTCCGCAAAGAAGCGTATCTAGTAAGCCCCCACTCATTTGTACAGATAAGGGAAGAAGCCATGATGACAAGCCCATGACCCACGCTAGTTGATCAGATTGGATTGTACAGTTCTGACTCGCATCAGAAACATCGGTTCCCAGCAGTGCTGTAGGGTAAGAAACATGCACGTCCCCCTTATGCACGCTCACATCAAATGGCGAAACCTCTAAGAAATAGGGCACTTCTCCCTGGTCAGTTTGTATCAACATAAAGGGCAAGGGGGCGTTGTGATCGGCAAGCAAGTTGTGATTGAGCAGCCCTGACATAGTAGTACCCACACCGCCATCTTGTGCCAGTAACTGAAAAGCCACAGCCCGGCCCCAATATTCGGCAAATGCGTAGGTTTTTGTCTGCAAAGATTTGATCGCTGCGCTTTGGAATTTGAGCTCAGTTTGACACATAATGCTGGCTGATGTTGCTGCCGCTGAAGGCTGAGTTTTGAACGGTTTGACCGTCGGGATGAACCACCCATTCACGCCCAAATTGGTTAGAACATCATTCGCGCTAAAAGTGCCGTCAAAAAGGCTCTTGCCCATCTCCATGTCGCGCTCTGCAAAGAAAGAGTCTATATCTAAACTGTCCTTCTGCATGCTGTTCTCGTACAACCCTCCCAAAAGCCAACTCCCCCCCGAGGCCCCTGAGATCCACGTTGCCAAATCCAGAACACCCGCTTCCGCCAAACCAGCTAAGACCCCTCCCCCATTAAAGACAGAACGCTTCCCTCCCCCTGAAACCGTGATGGCCACTTTGAGATCAGGAGGGGTCGACACGGTCAGTGAAGGGATATTTTGCTCGAGAAATTCAGCAAGCTTGGGCCCTGTCTTCAGCATTCGCTGCTCCACCCATTCCTTCTCCTCGGGATGAAGGCCCTCGAATGAATCACTGTCCAAGACTCGAGATTGCGAGTCCGCTCGCATAGGGAACACCGGACAGGCATCCTCCGACGAAACTCTCTTAGGAATACCAGCATCGATATTCGAAAGCCCTTGTTCTGCACTGCCAGGAAGGCAGACCATGCTCTTCGCTGTCCCAAGAGAAAGCGAGGGTTCGCCGTCGCGTGTTACAAGGGGGACGACTGTTACATCCATTCTCAGCGGTGTTCCGAGTGGAGCCTGGAAGATGATAGCGTAGTCCTGAATAAAATCAGCAGCATCAAAGTTCTGCGTTTCAAAGGTTAGCTCCTCTCCCAGAACAGTTGCGCCGCTACTTGTGGTTTCGCGGATCAGTAGAGCCCGTGAGGACTCATCATCAAATTTGCCGCCCTGCGCGGTGCCTGAGAGCGCTTCGCTCCTCTCAACACCCCGGCTACTCAAAGCATCTTGTGAAGAATCAAAGATTGCACGTGCCTTTCGTGTATCCTCTGCACTTCGTAAATTCGTATAGAGGGGTGTCTTATTCATGTCCAGCCTCAGACGAATCGTTCCATCCTGCGAGGCTTCCAAGGCAAACATATCTTTTTCTGTGTCCGGAAGCTTCAGCCAATTATTATCTTTGCGAGTACTTCTATAAACTTCTATCACACTGTAGTTTTCTGGCTGAGGACCTGCGTTATGCACTTCGCTCACTATATCTTGGGCCAGATGCCCAGAGAAGTCGTTGTCAGCTAGAATGACCGGAGTGTAGGATCTGAATGTTGAAGAAGCCGCGTAGGCTGCAAAGAAATGTGTGCGACCGGGGAGGGTGCCGTCCTCAGAGCTTGTAGCTGCTGTCGGTTGTATCGTAGGAGACATCGTCGGAGATACAGTCGGCTGCATGGTAGAAGGTATGTCCTGAGCTGGCGTCGGTTGCGTCGTTGGTGCCATGGTCTGAGCTGGCGTTGGCTGTATAGTAGAAGGTATGTCCTGAGCTGGCGTCGGTTGCGTCGTTGGTGCCATGGTCTGAGCTGGCGTTGGCTGCATAGTAGAAGGTATGTCCTGAGCTGGCGTCGGCTTCACAGTAGAAGGTATGTCCTGAGCCGGTGCCATGGTCTGGGCTGGCGTCGGCTGCATCGTCGGCGCTATGATGGAAGATGCTATTCCAAGCGCGAACGGGCTGAATGATGTTACGCTACCACACACCAGCTCAGATTCTGAATCCACATCCGTTGTCACATCCTCCCACGCGTCGTTGATGAAGTGAAAAAGGCGAGGCTCTGTGCCCATGGGGAAAGTAGATTGAGAGTATGACAGGCATAGGGCAGCGTCTCCGTCGAAGACGGCAGTAGTGTTGATGAACTTGTAAACTGGTGGATTGCCAAGCGAAAAGTTGCTGGGGGGCACGAACAACGGATCAGAGATGTCCGGAATCACGGTCACGACGGTCTACACATATGATGTGGGAAGGTAATGGAAAGTACAGGTACTTGAATGTCTCATACTACACTACCACTACCATTCTAATTCCTATTTGACAAAAGACAAGCTTCTATTCGTTCTACGCTATAGTGCGTTCCGGACGAAAATTATTGTATGAGCCTGCTTACCGTGATACCCGAGCTGATGACATTTGCAAACTGAATGTTCCCACTGGTGGTATTCTCTCCATCACTTCCGATGCTAACAAGAACGTCTTGGCCATCGGGCGTAGGAACCACAACGGGTTTAGAGGGCTTCGGAGCCGGGGTGAAACTCGTAGGGGAAAAAGTTGAATTGACGGGGTAGGTGTCGATCGTTGGTAACGATGAGGGTGCAGCAGTTGGGGCTGACGTAGGAGCTGAAGTGCGAATTGCGCTGGGCCCTAGTGTGGGGGAGGATGCAGGACTTCCGGTGGGGGCCGCAGTGGAAACCTCAGGGCTTTTAGGAGCTGAAGAAGGGACCGCCGTTGCAGCGGTTGTCACCTCATACATGTCATATGCGGGATCAAACACAAAAGGGGTGCACACATCTGCGCAGCAAAAGCACTGATTTGTCACAGTATTCCAGTTGAAGGAAAAAGGCACGAGTTCATTTCTCCTCAGCGAGCAATATTCATAGCAATCTTTCGGCGTGGAAATATCTAGTTTCCGACTTTCGCGTTCCATAGAAGGCAAGAAGGCCGTCGCATTAGTACGCTCAGAGTGCAGAGATCGACGGCGATCCTCAAATGGTGCGCGCAGGCTTCCTTGCGAGAAACGCTGTCCTCGTCCGAAAAGGACGAACTGTTGTGCAGGATTGATAGAGGGAGCTGGAGTAGGAGCACATGTCGTCTTTCGGTTAAGCTTGGAATAGCGCATTCGTAACTGTGCTGGGCTTCCCAGTCCCTTCATGCAAAAAACAGCTGTTGAATTGGTAAAATAAGCCAGCGCATTAACGCTCAAAGTCTCAGGAGCGCACTCGTCAACTTTGACCTTGGCTCGAAATCGGCGCCTTCGATTTTTGGCAAGTTCAATAGTACGCCAGTAAATATTGGTGGTACCGTCGAGGCTCTGAATGATGTCTGGATTCGCAAGCGATCTTGAGGACGGACGCGTTACGGTCTTTTCTACAGATACTCCATTTGGCAAAGTCAACATGAATTGTAGATTATTGACGGGGTCCTTGCTGCGCAGCGTTACTGACACCTTGGCCTTGGCTTTCGAGACCAAGATGCCACGCTTTGCATTTGGATGCACCTTCGCTTTAAGTGCTAGGCGCGGACATTCTTGAGGAGCTGCGAGCTGTATGCTTGCTAACATAAGGAGGGCAGCGCTAAAAGAATGGAGGAAAAGATGCATTTTCGCAAAATTGAATGTTGTCTCGTGGCTAGACCCTAATAAGGCAATTCCCTGTTATGGAGTGTGAAATTACGGTAAACAATTTGTTATTTTAGTAATGAACCTTCTCTTAATCTCGTTTGCATGCCCTCGAGTTTATTAAAGGACGGAATCCTCCTGAGACACGTTTGCAATAGCCTCTCGATGAGCCTTCTGTGCAGGTACAACCCGAACCCTAATCTGGACAAGGAGATGATAGCAACCACACGATACATTCTGCCGACATAGGAGTTCTGACGCAAGAAGTTCTTACACGAGGGTAACTCACAGATTCGAGCGAGCGAAATTATATTGATTCCGAAGAGAAATCTGGATCGACAAATGTGTCAATGTACAATCGTTGTGATCCTTCGTCAAGGTAATGATGTCCTCATGTCTCTCTTCTCGCCTCTTTCTACATGGAGGTATTTTAAGGAGATCACGTCTACTACATATGAAAATAAGATTCGACTCCGTAGAATTTCGTGGAGCTCGGGACAATATCGGAGAGATTCGATAGCATCTGTATTCGATTCAACTCGCCGAGAGTCGCTAAATTTCGGGAGGGGCTGAAACGGGTCTCCTCGACTGACTTTTTGCTCCCCTCAGGCATGACCTAGACTTCCATCAACGCAGATTTTTACATTCCAGGGCATACTTTGATGTTTCAAAGGGAATGAAGCGACATGAATGCACATGAATTGCTCATGCTGCAGAGCATTCGATAAATAAAGTGGGAGCTATTAGATTCATGTCAAGTACTACCGTCGCGAAGCATCGGCGAATCTCTAACCCTACTTTGCCTGGTCCGGGAAAGAAATGACCTCAGTCCACTATGAAAATAGAGTGAAATTTAGGCCTTCGCTCAGATCACTACCCGAAACTCAGTCGCTGACTCCGTATGTAAAGAAGCTCCTTACTGAATATCTGACCACGACCATTTCGGGGAAGAAAGGGCAGGAGTTCCGAGGCCTCTCCGTTATGGAGCCTCTTTGATCCCTCTACCGAGTATCTACAATTAGAGACTGGAAGAGGCATCAAGTACGACAGGAAGCAACAATAAGGAACATCGGGGCAGTCGTTGCCCAGCACGGACATTGAGTCTTTGCACTGGTCCTTGAAGTTTCCTGCCTGGACCATCCTCCTAATGAGTGACCACGAAAAGGTTGAGTAGAAGAAGTGAACACTGCCAATACCACCGTCCCTATTTCTTTGTGTTCAAGCTGCACCTGATACACGCTTGATTGAGCAGTTTAGCCTCTCCTCTTTGGAATCCCCAGAGAGACACTTTCACCCAAGGAGCCTGCACACACCTGGGCCAGCCCCTTCGCTCGCTCCGTTGAAGCCTTCCCATCCTATTTGTGTCCGCCGCCTGTCCCTCCTCCACACCTCATTTCAGCATACACAAGCAAGCGTGCTTTGTCTCCAGACGGCGGGACCCATCGTTTCGTCCATTCCCGAACCGCCGTGTCCCGCTCGCTGGAGGAGTCTTCCTTACAATGGCATCAATCACAACACCTTTGCACAACCCCCTCTTTCCCTCTCCTGTGTCTTCACCTCCGTCGCAGTCTAGACACCTTGGCTCTCCCGTTATCCACTCGTCCTCATAATGTCCTTACCCTTGTTTATGGTGCCTTCGCCCTCCCCATCGCTTCCTCCCCACCCCCCCTTCAAGGCTTGCCACACCTCCTTTTTTCTTCTTCTCTCCTCGCCTCTCTTCATCCCTCCCTTGCCACTTCCTCACAAACCAACGGGCAGCAAGTACGGGTTTCCCGGCGTCATCCAACTCGCGAGACTCAAATGCCCCGCCTCCGTGCCCGCCACCGACACCTCCTCCCCGCCTCCCTCCTTCCCTCCCTCCTTCCCTCCCTTACCCTCTTCCTCCCTTTCCCCTTCTCCATCTTGCTCTTCCTGCTCCCGCCTCTTCTTCCAAATCGTCGCCTCCATCATTGCTACCATGACCCAGAGCACCCCCACGAGCGCAAGGATGGACTGAGGGAGGGACGGAGGGCCAACCTTGTGCATGACGGCACCGATGAGGACGGGGAGGGAGGCTTCGCCCACGCAGCCCCCGATGACCAAGTGGGCGGTCATCGCTGAAAAGGGGGCGGGAGATCCGGAGGGTGGAAAGAGGGGAGGGAGGAAGGGGAGCCAAGGACCAAGGCAGTTTTTTTGATTAAAACTAAGGAAGGGGTACAGGGTAGAGGGAGAAGCACAGGAAAGAGAGGGGAAGGCGAAGCGAGAAAACGGACATAGAAGACGCAAGGGAGGGAAGGTGTGAGGCGGTGTGACTTGCCCGTGTCCATGCCAAAGCCCGCCTCGGCTGGCCAGATCATGACCAAGGGGTAAATCGACGACATCCCATAGCCAAATAGGGAGGAGGCCACAGCCGCCAGCACTATGGAGCGCGTCCCCAAGAAGTAGAAAGCGAGGGCGCCACTTAAGGAGAAGGCAAGTTGGAGGCGGAGGGAGAGGCGGGCGGGAAGGAAGAGGGATTGGCAGACGGCCAGGGCCCGTCCCAAGGTGATGGCGGCCCAGAAGATCGACACCAGAAAGGCGGCTTGGGAGGGGGAGGAGGTGGTGCCTGTGGCCAAGGCATAGGTGGCCACCCAGCCCCCGAATCCGCATTCTGCCCCCACGTAGAGGGTCAAGAAGAGGGTGAGGAGCCAGTGGAGGGAGGCAGGGAGGCCTTGGAGGAGGGGCGGTGGGGGCGCCGGGGAGGGTTTGCGGGGAGAAGGGAGGGGGAAGGGGTCAAGGCGCGT